ACACACACACACACACACACACACACACACACACACACAAATTAGGAAGCACCACTGAACACAAATGTACATTTTTATTAGTAACTACAGGACTGTAAATGTTCGCAAACATGACATTTGTTGTGTGCATGAAATTGATCTACAAGAGGCTGTGTACCAAATGTGTGAGCACTGGCCCCAAGGTGGTGCTATAATCAATAAACTGACCTCTCTGCTGATGTCTTAGCAATCATATAAGATTAAGCTGCAATCTGTCCTGAATCAGCTTTTCGTGTCTAGTTCACATTATCCAGAGACACCTCTGACAACATCTTTTGATTCATCAGATGATGTCCACATTTCACAAAACTCAATCCATACAGACACCAGCACAGTGTTGCTCCTTTCCATGAGAGATGATGAGTCTGATCTGATCTGGAGTCACTTCATTTTAATCAAGTGAAGAAAGGAGCAGCTCATGGCCTGAAAGCAGGAATGTGAGGGGCGATAAAACCTCCACGCCAAGTCAACTTTTCAGAGCAACAACAACTACTGGATCTGCCAATGCTAACAGCACACAACTATTTACAACGAATGGCGTTAATTACACTGTAATGCCCAGAGTGGAAATGCAATGCATGTTCCTATGCACTGTGTGTCGCACCAGTGTTATTTTAGTATCAATAACATACTATTATAGTCGCTATTATGTTGAATCAGTTTTTATTTATATATTTTCCATGTAGTTAAAGTTTTACTAATTTTGTTGTTTGTTTTTGTCATTTTAATAGATGCTGCCATATAGCTGAAATACATGTTTTTTTTATCATTTATTTGATGTCAGTTAACGTTTATTTTATTCCAAGTAACAAAAAAGCTTTTCTAATGGTTTTAATTTTAGTTTCACATTTAGTTAACTACAATGATTGGTTTTTATTCTTAACTGTTTTAATACATTTTTATCAAAACCATCTTAAAACCATCTTATTGTTGAGATTATGATTTTAATTCATTTTTATGCGAATCACTTTAAATTACCATTGTGTATGTAATGTGCTATATACAGTAAATAAACTTGCCATGCTTTTATTTACAAATATCATGAATGTTAGGGATGCACCGAATGTACGGCAGCCGAAATTATTCAAAAGCTCTTTCGGTGTTCGGCCAAATAAGCGAAAAGACTGAATAATATGTACTAAACAATGACATGACGCGATCAGATAGAAGCGTGCACTAATGCAGCAAACACGTCTGCAGTGTGGAAGCATTTAAACTGAATTTTTACAAGGCATGTGACAATATGATATGTGCAACAAACTTCATTTATAAATCTGCTGTTGTCAACAAAAAGAAGCACTGAGGTCTTCCTGCGGGTTTCTGCCAAATTAAAAGCTGAGAAAAAGCAAGAACACCATCAGCATTCATAAATGTTAGTATTGTAATTTGACTGTTGTTCTGTAAAATAATAGACAATAATAATGATAATGATAATTACTCTACAACAGCTCAATTAATACATTTATTTTAACATTCACACATCAAAAAATATTATTTTACTAACTTATTAATTTTAAGTTAAATTGTGCTTTGTTGGTATAATGTTTGCTAGAATGTTAAAAAATGTTCAGTGTTAAGTACATATTTTTAAATAGCTGTTTTGTATTAGATTTTTTCTTTTAAAAGCAGGACAAAACAGTAAAAATCACATTTTGGCTATTTAATTTATGCAATGGTGAAAAAATTGGCAAAATACATGGGGAAAAGAAATAAACGTAAAAAAACCGTGTTCGGTATTCGGCCTTCGGCCCAGTGTTTCATTTTGGTGTATCCCTAATTCATGTGTGAGACTGTTGCATCAGATCAGCTCATAAAGATGCCGAGTTAAATTACTGTTAAATAATGAATTATATTTTACAAATCATATACGAGCACAATGCCTTATATTTGTCTTGGTTCACAGTATTTCAGCAGAACAGGGCTATCTGAGGACACAAGCCAAATCCCATTCATTTCTAGCGCTAGGGGGCGCTATTACTATTATTTCATAGTGCGTACTGTAGCTATTACTGTGATCACTGGCTCACTTTTACTGCCATGTTAACTGATGCTTTAAATGCACTGTGTGTAAAACAGTCATGCAGATAATCAGATCAATCACTTTCACTCTCTTATCAAACTGAACCGGTAGACGGATATTAAATAAAGAGGAATTGTTTAATAGATGCATGCAAGCACTGTTTAACTCTGTAGGTGAAACAAATACACACACACACACACACTCGCACACACACACACACACACACACACACACACTCGCACACACACACACACACACACACACACACACACACACACTCACACACACACACAC